TTATCGTACCACAAAACATATCGTTCTTGATCAAAGAGGGAAAAGAAACGAGAGGGAATGGAAGTTTGAGATATTTCCGCAATCGATGAGCCAATAGTGCAGTGACCTATAACGTCGCCGGTCTGCAGATCTCGAAAGACACCGGGGCGGTCGAAAATGCGCTCTCGTCTCGTCATTTCCACAGGAGGCAAAATATAAGAATTGTTGGACGATCTATAAGCCAGCCATGCAAGTCCAGTTCGTTGTCGGTTCAAAGAGCGTAGAACCAACCCCCGAACGCCGACATAGTTTATCCCAAGATGTAGTCCGACAAGGACGAACAACATGGAATAGGTTGACCAAAGAGTCGTTAAACGTGGCACGATCAGCGTTCCAAGCTGCGGATCGGAGAATGAGCAAGAATAGACAACGGGCTTCCGTTAAATCGACCGACTTACAAGCATTCCCAGGAGGGCGAGTACGGTTTCTTTACTTGCGTCCTTGGCATTCAGGTCACCAACATCTCCAGAACCTTCGGAGGGAGTAGCAAAGTGCAAAGTTATTGCAGCCTTGGAGCCGCCTGCGGCAATCCCACAAAGAGAACGTAAGGATGCGCTCACACAAAGCGCTGCAACTCGCACCCCAGGAAGAGCCGATGTGTTCAGCAACGGAGAGAAGGTATCTAGTACTACAGCAGCATCGTTTAAAACATCCGCCAGTAGACGGTATGTTTTTGCTTCCGGTACTAAAGAAGAGCCAATAAGATATGCAGCAAAAATAGCTATAAACATATAAGCATCCTGATGAAGCGAGAATAAAATATAAAAAGATATACTGACTTGTAAGACGGCTAAAAACATCCTGCAGGGCAGTCAGAAGTAGAGCATGCGTCGCGGTGGCGGACGGATCCCCGACACCGAAGCCTGTGGAAATCAAGGTCAGTCTTAATTACGCACGGCTACGCAGGTCATAGCACTACCTTCTAGTATTGCTCGCGATGATAGAAGACTTGCCAGGGAGTTACAAAACGCTTGAAGGGCATTAAGTATTTGATACCTGCATACGCGAATGGGAATTATTGGTATAAGAGGATTTGAAACATACGCACCTCAGGTAATCTGTTCGTGCGACGACTGTTTAAACATGCTGTCCTGGCAGCATATCAGAAAACGCGACCATACCTGAGGAAACGCTATTGGGGTATCCAGCTGGAAGGAACACCTTCCTCATGAAATCGGTTAACCATGCACCTGTCGAATGGCTGTGCGTGTTCGATAGACGAGTCACTTCGCGTTTAACCTAATACTCGTAAAATGTTAGGTTTGGATCTCAACATAGAAGATGTACTGCCAGTGCTGGGACAGACCTTGGATCCACTGATTTGAATTTGATGATTTCGTCCTGCTTCATCTCGTTCCGTAATGATTATACTTTCTTCTCTTTCCATATATGGGTACGTTCGGAGAAAGAAGATTGTAAGAAAACCGGCAGGATACTTAGCGAACGAATGCCGCTGTTAAAAAGACGCGGAAAGGCCGTACAAACAAGTTTGAACTTTGGAACTTTGGTGACGTAACCAGGAACAATCACCTGTCAATAGAGCGAAATAACGCGTCGCGTTTTCAAATACCGGTCGTTGGTTGGCGTCATGCATTATCTTCCTCATTCCGAGTTCGACAATAACGACTGGCGTTATATAAACGTCACTTGATTGCTCGGCGAATTAACGTGAATTGTATGCCTCCCACGGCAGTCACATCCGACATATTGACGTTGTACGTGCCTTGCCAAATATTTTCTTCTCTTCGTCGACCATAACAGTCGACCTTCCACAGACAGTATAACACTGGTTGCAACTCAGTGCCCTATAGAGGAGGACGTCCATACGGCTTTTCAGAGGGCTATAAAATGGTTCAAGGCTAGTATACTATTTGGGATGTGATACGCCTTGAAGTTTGTGTCCGCTGATGATTTCAACATAGCTGTTTTGTCTGTGCAGCATGCATCAGCGTTCTTCATGTGCTTGTAGTTGAGAAGTCGATTTTCCGCATAAACAATCGATTCTGGTGGGACGCATGTGGTGGTATGATTATGCCACTATATTGCCCTTATACATGGAATGCGTGAACTGTGTGGTGATGTGGATATTATGTATGTCAGAAGGCTCGTTTCTATTTCGTCCACTCATCGAGGAACCTTTGCATAAACTAAGCTCTCTTGTAGGTCCCTCCTCTACTCTCCGCACGAAGGTGGTTCTATTTTGGCTTTTATCCTTTGCGTGGTTTACGTTGATTTGGTGCGTCGCCATAAACCGTCAAACCCGTTCATGAAACGCGGTCTGAGGTGTGGATTAATTTCATATTTCACAAGGTGGACACAATTAAGTCTTTCTCTATCTATTGCAAGGGTATTCCCTCCTATATCATGACATAGGAAATACGCAATGCATCTCACCAAAGCGTTTGTGGTTACCTGGCTCGTAGTCATGATTTCGTTCAGAGAAGATACTGTTTACTAATTCTCTCAAATCATAACGTAAATCATATATCATTACACTCGTGTTGGGTAAGGTCACAAAGTATTACCAGCATACATCAGCCTGTATAGAATCTAAATGCCATGAATATGCATCATCACAGCTTTGGTCGACGAGGAATTCAGAGCTCGGGGGTGTCCACGAACAAACTGCCAAGCTGTGCTACCGGGTACCTGGCTGCATCTGAAGCACCGGCATCCCTGGCAATCTTGCGAACTTCACCGACCTCGACATCGGTCAGTTTAACCTTGCTTGCGCCGACGTTCTCGTTCAAGTACTATTGAACATTTTGTTGTTAAATATAAGAGAATTATTAGATTCCTGATTCAGCTCTTACCTTGACGTTCTTTGTTCCGGGAATTGGGAAGAAGTCATCTCCTTGAGCAAGAATCCAGGCAAGGGCAACTTGTCCAGGAGTAGCGTGGTGTCGATCAGCGATTGCCTTGAGTCCATCGACGACTTGGAGAACCTTAGGGAAGTTCTCCTTGCTGTATCTGTTTAGAAACATTAATAAATGGTTTCAGATATCTGCAGAAGGATCCCGAACCTTGGGACTGTCTTCCTGAAATCTCCTTCTTCGAAATCGTCTGGGGATTTCTGGTGAATCAAGATTTGGATTAATGCATGACCCAGAATGCAGTTCAGTACCACTCACGTATTGTCCCGTGAGAAGTCCACGACCTAGAGGAGCATATCCAACAATCTTGACGCCTAATTCTCGGCAAGCCTTAAGAAGGCCAATCTTCTCATCCTCGATATCGAGAGTAAATGGTGAATATTCAACTTGAACTGCAGCAATTGGATGTACGGCGTGTGCGCGGCGAAGAGTTGCCGCTGAGATTTCGGAAAGTCCGAGGTACTTGACCTTGCCTTCTCTGGAGATTTGCTATCAGCTAAAGCAAGTATCGGTTGGAAATATCAGTACTCACTTCACAAGCTCTGCCATAGCACCAACGGTCCTCTACAAAAGCGAAGATTAACCCCAAACATCAAATCAATGAAAGGGTATATACCTCAATAGGAACAGTTTTGTCGGCCCGCTATAGTTCGCAGTGTCAGTAAGTATTATATGTACTGCCTATTGAAGTTCTAACTCACGTGAAGGTAGAATAGATCAATATGGCTAACTCCCAGCCGTTTCAAAGATTTCTCGCAAGATGCTTTCACATATTCGGGATCTCCATTGATTAGCCTGTTGGGTTGCCTGAAGATTCCGAATTTGGTCGCGAGGAAGATCTTGTCGCGGTTTCCGGTGCGCTTAAACCTGTATGAAATAGCGTTAATAAGTTCACTTCAATACGGAAAGCTAGAATACGCACCATTTCCCAATGACATCTTCGCTATCTGCATAGACATCGGCTGTGTCCCAGAAGGTACAACCTTGAGCGAATGCAGCATCGAGAACCTTGAATACAGTATTAGACGTAGATCCCATATCATTAAGTTAGACAGTACCTTGAATCGTTCCTCGTCTGAGGGTGCCTTGCCATACATGGCAGACATACCCATCGCGCCGAAACCGATTTCGCTGACATTGGTAGTGCCAATCTTTCTGGTAGGAATCGACATAGTGGATGTAATAGTAGTTGTGTTGGTAGATGTAGTTGTGTTGGTAAACGGTCTGGAGGTTGTGAGTGCCGGGACTTGGCAAGGCGTACTGGTATATATAGGAGTGTAAATTAACTGCTTGATGAGATAACACTGTGCTGAGTTAGATGGAGCCACTACTTTTCCGAGGGGTTTTCCCATAAACCCACTCGGTGAGATGGTCAGAAATACCCTCATGACATTCTTTAGATGCTGTTGTTATCGATCTGGGCTTATAAAAAAGACTCATGGCAAGTCTAACAATAGAAGGTTTGCATCATCAATGCAAAACCCTGGAGGAACTATTTTTAGATTAGTCGGAGATAGTGACTACGGGGCCAGTAAGTGGGTCTTTCGTTGAGTGAACTAGCAAAATGACGGATGTAAGGTGCCAAAATGACAAAGTATCCTCAATTATGATGGGAAGCCGCCTTTCGGCCAGCTATCATGGAAATCGCGCGCCATAACGGCAAGTTGACGCCTGAGCGGACTGCCCCAAAATATCATTTGTGCCGAACTTCTATGATACTATTCATTACATACAGACAAAAATTACACATGGGCCTGACTGGGAATTGAACCCAGGACCTCCTCGAAATGATTTTACAACCCTAACAAGGAATCATACTACTAGACCATCAGGCCTGTGGTTTAAGGACAAAGGTGTCGCAGCCGAAGGACGATGCTATAGCTAAGCTTTCTAGTCTATACAAAAGCGCAATTTTTAGGATTTCCGATGCTCGGGCTTCGATGATAGAATTAACAGCTGTTCATCTATTTATAACATTGATTGATCCCTTAAAGGTTAAAAACTAAATCTGGCAACTGTACACCACAGACTCGGAATGAATGTATTTAACAGGATTCAACTGTAGGTAGAGCAACAAAAGTACCAATAGGGCCTGACTGGGAATTGAACCCAGGACCTCCTCGAATTAAGTTATAAACCCTAACAAGGAATCATACTACTAGACCATCAGGCCGTACAATTTCTATTATCAGCTCTAACCGAGACTGTTTAAGGGCGCTTTTTTTTATATAGCTCTAGAATGCCGGGAAACATTGTGATAACAATCCTAGTGGTGTATTTTTCCCCATGGGCCGCGTCAGCATTCTCTGCAACCAGATAGACCGGCTGTACATCCTCCGCTGACAGTTTGATATTTGCTGCAGCTAAGTTCTATTTAAGATACTACTAGATTTATTAGAAAGAGGGTTTTATACACACATTTAAATACATGCCTTAATCTTCTTCGTGCTAGGTATAGGGAAAATGTCGCTTTCCTGTGCTAGGAGTCATGAGGCTAGATGTTGCGTTATACTTCGCCCCGATAGCCTCCAGCCCATCTGCGGTTGGGAATATTACGGAAATTCTCTTTGCTGTACCTATTTATATATGTGGATAAGAGATATACATAATCCACTGTAATCCTTCGACTCACCTAGCGATATCGCGCCTGAAATTACCTTCTTGGAAGTCATCCAGCGATATCCATATAATTATAGTGAGAACGAAGCTGATTTCAGCAGTAGTGGGTGACACGTACGAATCGACCAAGAGGCAAGTATGCGAGTAAGCGCGCTACAACCGTAACACCAAGTTCGCGGCATGTCTTTAAAAGGTTGACCCGTCCGTCCGTCACCTCCAACCCTACGTGCGCTGTAAAAGAATATCGACCATTGAACTGGTTCATCTGACTCAACGTTAAGTTCTAAATGGAATCTTAGACATTGCGTGAGGTGGACAGAATGATAAGAGGCTACATGAGGAAAAGGTTGTGTAATAGATTAGAGATTATAAACACGATGAGAAGGAAGCAAGCTAAAAATAAGTAATTGAGAGAGTGAAGTCATGAGGAGAAGATTCTAAAGCTTCACGTTTCGTTTTCTAAGTAGAGAGAACAATAGAACAAAAAATTCCGCGAGTCATGGGCCCACACTAACATCCAACAACATATATAAAAACGTTATTCAGATTGTTATTAACTAGCTACAAGCAAGGTGCATTATTGTACTATATCGACTTTTTGTCGTTGGAGATATTGCTACAGATCGCGATGAGCGCGGAGGATGATGTGTGTATGTATGGAAGTATGTGCAAGAGAACAGAGAATATAAATAGAATGATGTGGGTGCGGATAGCGAGAGAGCGATAGAAAGCAATGAAAGAACGAATGTGTAAGCAGGAATGGAAAATGACGAAAGCAATCGAAGAGGCTGTGAAATGAGTGTATAATTTTTTTTAAGCACCACCCCTAACAAACAGCTCGACAGGGATAGGTTTCCTGCGCAGACCATTGCTGCCCGAGCTAGAGGTGCTCGTCTCGCTACCAGCATCGCTGACCGAGTTGATGCTTCCCCTCCTCCTCACACCCACAGTCTGACCGTACCCAATAACCATCACATCCGATTCGCGCCTCGAAGACTGGCGGCCCTTGCCTGACAGTGGCGAGGGTGAATGTCCAGATGATGAGAAGGAGAATGCAGGAGAGGTAGGTGTCTGTGGGAGCTTCTTGCTAGTGCGCTTGGTCTTTGAGGGGGAGCCACCACCGCCGAAGTAGAGACGGAGCTTAGCTGCGCCACGGAGTTCGTGCTCTTCGCGGATGGAGTTGAGTGTTGAGGAGCTCCATTTGGATTTGAGCCCACGCTCGGGGAGGTCGATGGCGTCGTAAGGAGAGTCGAAGGGGATGGGGGAGGAGCAGGGAGAGGGATAGATGAAGGAGTATGCGGAGGAGCCGCTGAATGCAGGAGAGGCGGGGATAGGGCAGGGAGAGGAGGAGGTGAACACATCTTGGGCTTGTTCTTCCTCTTCTTGAGGCTCCTCGACGACGGGAGTGAGAGGATGCGACTGCACCTCCTCGCGAACATAAACCTCCTGCGCCTGCTCAGCTTCCTTTTGCTCCTCCTCCAACACAAACTCTGTCACAGACAACTCAGGGACTCCCCTCCTCAGCTCTTCGAGTCCATGGGCAATGTCGGCCTCCAGATCGATGGGGCTTCCAGGCAGCGAAAGGGGAAGCATGAGTTGGTAATCCATGTCCATCTCGAACTTGAGATCATCCACTGGGAATTCGATCTCCTGGCCTCCCGAAGAGAACGACTGCTGTGAGTATGCGCTCGTCGGGCTCTCAGGGTCCGCATACATCGAGAATGAAAACGCTGACTCGTCATCAGCGAGATCGAAATCGGCAGGGACACTACTGCGGGGAGGCGGACGGCGAACAGTGGTTGGGAGGGTCTTGGAACATGAGTTGCGACGACTGATCGAGTTGGAGCGGAAGTGAGCTGGGATAGGTGGAACCGGGGGAGGAGGCGGTGCGTATTTCGGGATGCTGCGCTTGCGCTCGTGGCTGAGACGCTTGCGAGGGAAGGCGGGGTCGAGCTGGCCACTGGGGTATCCGGTGGGTTTGGGGGATGCAGGCATGACAGCGGGGGGAATGAACATTGACTCTGGGCGAGCGTTTTGGGTGGGGAAGGAGGGAGGGATGGGAGAGCAGAGGGTGAGGATCTTAGAGAACTCGCGCGTGTACCATTCCGAGTCTGATTCGGAGTCAGAGTCGGAGAGAGGGGAGGGAGGTGGAGAGGTGGGTTTGATGTGGTAGGATTCGAGGTGAGAAATAGGCGAGTCTTGTGGGGGCGAGGATGAGTGCTTGATGATGACGAGCGGTTTAATGGCCGCGCGTCTGGGGTTGAAGCGTGGCGAGGGAAGCGAGAATTCGTCGTCTGAGGAAGACGGTGTCGTTGGGAGACCCATAGAGTCAGACTCGGGGCTAGAAGATGAACATGAAGAAGACATGGAGGGCGTTGGCGAGACACACGAGTGGCGGTCGCTAGATGGTGTTGGTAGCGGGGGATGGGGAAACTTGAAAGAGACATCGGTGAACGTAAGTCTAAATGAGTCGGGTGAAGGCACAGGGCTGGTTGGCGGACGCGGTGCAGGCCGGGGGGCTGACAACAGGCTATCATCCTGTTCTTCAGTGTCGAGATGAGCGGGTGCATCGCGTGCTATCCTAATGTCGGAAACTAAGACGTTGGCATGTCTACGTTTTGCTTTCTGGTTGCTGCTGGCACTGGTGCTGGCGTAGGGTGATGGTGAGCGCGAAGAAGATGCTCGTGGCTCGTCCTCCTCTTGGATAATATGCAGAGGCTTGCTTATGAGCGTTGCTTTGCGAGATCGAGCTGTGCGGGCCTGGCGTTTGAGCATAGCGTCTCGTGAAAAAACTGTAAAAGAAACACGAAATTAGCGTGTAGCTACGAAGAAAGAACAGATCGATCGTACAGTTGGAAACAGTTGAGTTCATGATGAGTTCGTTGCGGTATGAATAGAAATAAGTCTAGAGGTCGTTGCAGTAGTCCTGGAAGAAGAGACAAGGTGGTCATACCTGTGCGCCTTGTTCTTAAGTATAACAAACCCATTGTATCTGGCCATTGTGCATTTGCCGATTGTTGAAAACGGGACAATGAGCAAAAATGCTTTTCAAACTCCGATTGATGTCCAAATTAGGAAGGTGCCGACTTTAGCCGTCCTTTTGTTCTTGCTCGTCCCACTGCTGGGCTGCAGTTAAGGGTTTTAATAGTATCGTCGCATTATCAACGCAGTGCTTAGCTTTATTTGAAAAGCGTTGTATTTTACGTCTCGCTAACGTGGGCGCTGTTGCACGCACCTCCGGTGCACTGTAGTATAGGCAGCTTCGGCATTGACAAAGACGCTAAATAGCTCTTGAATTATAGCTCGGAAGCAGTGGGTCAATGAATGGTCCGACTCGAAAGATTTGGCTTGAACTAGACTTCAAGTGCCATGACCAAAGTCCCTCTTCGTCCTTATATGCAACATTGAAAATGCTTGAGTGTTCAAATAACACGTGGTGAGCTTAGCGCCTCTTTACCAAGCTACTGTATACCATCATGACGATCCCCTACTAATTATTCGGACAACGATTTTAATTCTACTCTATGCTTCGTCGAGTTGAAAACTTCAATGGTTCGTTCATTAAGGTACGCCAAGGTCGAAGTCCATACGTCATCTTCATTGTGCTGCTCTAAATTTAGAGTGGCATTGTTCTTCAGGTCGCTGCCAAATACTAGTAAATACGGCATCTCCGGTCCGGAGTGAGACGTAAAACAGCCTCCATGCGTCGTCTTCAACTAAAATTTCTCGAAAATATGCCCTATAGGCACATCCTTATCACTATCTTGATTATTTCCTCGTCATTATTCTGTTAAGCTCTCGAACCCATGTCTCTTGTATTCACCATGCACCAATAGCACACTTACTTTACCGCCATACCATATTTGCTCATTCGCAATCCTATAGACAAATAAACGGCTATCTTATCTCATTGATTGCAGTTAAATTACAAATTAGTACCTAGAATAGTTGAATAAACTCTTTTCTAAGGCGTATTTAACAGCACTCCTTATGTATATAAACCAGTTTAAATGAGTTTATACCTATGTACTACTTCATCATATTTTGTTCCCTTATGTAACACGACCATCGGGTCAGTGATCAATCATACCGCAGGCATTTATTCATCGTTTAATTGTCATTAACATCATTATTTTAATTGTATCCCTTACTGGACTATACTATCCATAAGCGCAAAGGGGTCAGAGAGTTATTCAAGATAAATAACAAGTGCAGCCTACCAAGTGATCAATTTAACAATTTCGAACGTCGAATGATCCCATGCTTTGGCCCAAGGTGTGGTCCCAGTCCCTGCTTGAAATCCCGATTTGATTCCTGCAAGATGCATCCGAGTATAATCTAAGAGTGCAACTTGAGAATACTCCAACTTGGTAATTGATCTTGCTTCCAGCCGGACATGATCTAGCAGTACACGGGAAGTTGCCTTCGCTGTTATCGAATTGTTTACCGCAGGCATTAAAAGTCCATGCGTTGGCTGCGGCAGCGAGGGATGCGACGATGAGGGTAGTGAAGGTTTTCATTGTTGAAACTAGGATTTGAGGATATTAGCGATAG